GGGTTTACTTTTCCCCGTTCAGTTGAATTCGTATGTTAAGGGTAGAATTACAATTGCATCAATAATAGTTGTGGTGAAACTAGATCTTGGATGTTTTAAGTACTTGATTTAATCATCTTATTTAGTTTATTTTTGAATTCTTCTCATACTTAGTTCCGTAGATAATTGATTATAATTGATTCTTGCTTAGTAGAAATTTGAGTCTATTTAATTATTTTTGAACCTTAGTCTCTTGGGATCCGACCCTTACTTGCCAGTCTACATTAGTATTGGTCTGTTAGGTTATTTTTGATAGGTACGCGACACGCCTACCAAATAATTAATAAGGTTTTATGAGTTTTTAATAAGTTCGAATAAGTCTTAAACATACTCTCTGCATTTTTAAATACTTGCTCAATTTCTCTATGTGCGGAGTTTTAAGAAAAATTGGAGAAAGTAATAATATATGGAGGTAGTGGGGTAGGTGGAAGAGTAAAAAATTGTAAAAAGAAAAAGTAGTTGAGAGAATTGGAGGAGAGAGAATATGAAATTAATAAAATATTTCATCCGTTTCTTTTTAGTTGGCACGTTTCTTTAATCACATTTACCAATGCACAACTTCAATCATTCATATCTTTAATTACCGATAAGCAAAAATTATGAAAATCTGATATTTTGAAAATATATATCGTGACGAATCTAACAATATCCCACATGACTATATTTTTCATTACGTATAAAGCACAAAATACGGTCAAAGGGGAGTGTGTGAATAGTGCTAAAGTCATACATGTCAACTAAAAAAAACGGAGGTAGTATGATTTATGTTGGGTCCACTAGTTAAGAGAAATGAATTAAATATTGTAAAAGCTTTCCAAATAAGTAAAATTGAGCAAGTATTTAAAAACGGCCGAAAATGAAAAGTGGAGCAAGTATTTAAAAACGGAGGGAGTAATAATTATTGTGCTATTCAGTTTTTAAACACTATTACTCCGTAGTTTTGATAAGTGTAAATTAGTTCAAATAAGTTTAAATAAGTGAAATTTGGTGATTCAAAGTTTAAAGCATACCTTTAATGCATTTTCGTTTTAATTTATAAACGCTCCACCTTCTCTCTAAGAAAAGAAACTCTAACCTCCCGTGTTTCCCCTGCCGTTGGCGGCCAGAACACCACTGCTCATCTAAGGTTGCCGACGAGCATCATTTAAAGGTCGCAATCGTCGGTTTGGTCTCGCAAAGCACTTTCCCAAAGCTATATCCAACGCTTCGATGTTTTTCGGAGTAAAGTTAGGGTTAGGGTTTCAATTTTGGGGAAGATTTATTTGATCTTCTAATTGAAGATTAGAATCGGATCTAGTTTCAAGGTTAGTATACTGTAGTTTTTTGCTTTTCCTGGCGGTGCGGCCGAGGTGAAAGAAGTGTCCTCTCCACCGCGGCGCTAAGTCAGCCGCTTCTCGTCGTTTTTTCATCTACACAAGGGAGGTTCGTGGGATGTAACTACCTTTGGGGTCCTCTTTCAAAGTTTTCCCAACTGCCGCCATTGATAACTCACTAGTAGAGTTAAAGGTTAGGGTTAGTTTCTTGTTTGGGATAAGATTTGGTAAGACTAGGGTTTTGGGCTTTGATTCCGAAGCTAACTTCGTTGCCGCCATGTGTGGTTTCAGATTGACCGGAATTCAACGGTAAAGGTAAAGACCTTGTTAGGGTTTCTCGTTTGGTTTTTTAGTCTTTGTTGTAAATTGCCTTTGTCCATGTTTTGCTCCTTTGTGTGTAGTAGCTTTGTTTTCAGTTTGGTGGAGTTAAGTTTGTGGTTTCCTACGCTATGTGTTTCCTTGCTTTTTTGGTTCTCTGCCGAAAGTTTGATAAGTTTCATGCTTGTCGATGCTCTAGTTTTTGTTCTGTTTGGGTTTGGTTGTGTATCTTCATGTGGTTGTACACGATTTTAGGTGACCTAGGAGGGTGTGGTAGCCTCCTCTAGCAGTGTCTTGGTGTTTGGATTCGGGTATATTTGGGGATGGTCCTTTATTGTGGTCTGTTTAGGTTCTTAGAATTGATCTTGGCTTGTTTGTGTGCTGTTACATCTTTTGATTTCTCCGATCAAAAGATTATTGGAAGGTTATCTCTTGGTGACCTTCATTTTAGCTTAAGTAATGGATTGTCAATTCATTGCTTTGAAAAACCTTTATCTTAACCCTGCTCTCCAACATGGGGGCTCCCTTAAGGTTCTTTTGGGAGTTTTAGTATGGTAATGGTCATTTCCTTCGAGACAAGGCCAAACGTATCCACAGTTAAGGGTATTGAGTCATTTTTAAAAGTGACTCATAGTGTGTTGTCAAGCCTAGGTCGTCTGTTTTCCTACCCCGGTTGCCTAACGTTCAGGACTATTGGCATCCTTTCGAACTCTTGGTTTTGTTAGCCAATATCTGTGTGCTCTATGCTCTTCCGTCCATTCTCCTAGTTCAATGGCATATGGGATACAAAGCTAACAATGGTAAGTTTGGGTATCTCTTGATGGAGCACGTTCGACGGCAACTCCTTGAATTATCAAACTGGTTGTTTCTTGCAAAGAAGATGTTATGTAGTTTTATTTATAATGTTTGTATCATGGGGGCTAGTAAGGCTTCTTTGCGTAGTTTTTTATCGAACTTACTCCATAGTCTGTAATTTTTATGTCCGTTGATTGAACATTGTCCAAAGAAAAAAAAAACCTTGAAAATTGAGAGGATATTGACTCTAGATTAAAACAAAACCACCCTTTCAATTAAAGCAAAGGATAAAGTAATCAGGAAAGTGGAGCAATGACATTTGAGATGAGTGGAAAAAGTATATGGTCAAGGGAGTTATTATAAGAATAATGTGGATATCAATTTGGTTCAAGTAGCCTATTCGATGACAATCTTTAAAGCATGGACCTAGTTACGAATAGCTAAATGTGAAATCCAAAATGAACAAAGGAATTAAGCTCATCATCTATGTGTAATACGAAGTACATCACTTATATGTTAGAGACCAATTAGTATTAGTTATACTCCTAAGTCAGGACTATGTTATGTATAATGTATTAGTTGATTTGTCAAAGTAGATTTTATTTGACTAGTAAACCAACGTATGCCTTACGAAGTACGGAGTATTAAATAACAACAAACATACTATATGACCATTTTTGTTGTCTTGAGGTGAGAAAATGAAAAAAAAAAAAAAAAAAGCAAAGAAGTGGGAGAGGTATGAAAAGGGAATGAGAGAGTAATTTTCATGTTAAGGTCTTGACCAAAACAGATTTCAAGCAAACAAAAATGGGCTAACATGTGGCTACAAAAAACTATACTTTCCAAAAAAATTGCTATAACGTTTGTGCAACAACATCGTCGCTTGAGAAAAAAAATTATGAAATAATGCATACGTGATATGTCAATAATGTGTTAATATATAGCAATGTTTGATTTGATTAAAAGTGAATTAAAATCAATAATGTTTACAAAAAAATAAAAATAAAAATAAAGTTGTTTTACAAAAGGTGGTTCCAAGTTTTTGACGGAAGTCATATTCAGTTGTTGGGCAAACACCCTAAAATCAAACTACCTAAACTGAAAAACAACGAGAATATGACAAGGATCACATGAAATGGCTAATAAGAACACCAAAAATGCAAAAGAACTACAAGCTAACTCGGTCACAAGATTGGTTTTTGATTAATTAACTACTACACGACTAGATTGAACTAAGGGAGATACTATAGGGACAAGTGTTAGGGGAAGACGAGATTCAACACCTACCAAACCAATGAATCAACAAATTGGATAGAACATGAACATACTTGGATGATAGAACGAGAACTCAATATTGCCTTTTTTCAAAGCTACAACACTAAGCATTTCCTAGACCAAATAACTAACATGATAAAAGTACAAAGTCTCAACAATAGGAATTAAATTTCTAACTCGAGTTTGTCTTTTGATGTTTCGGGAAAGCATGAAGCACATATAATTGGGATTTTTCACCTAATTAAATTACCTCACTATAGCATCGTAGTCATTGAAACCAGACAACCATAGTCATGAAAGAACTACAGTCTAATTGCACAAGAGAAGACTCACAACCAAACTCCATTATCCAATACAAGCTTAGGAGTGAAACACAAACACATGAGCATAGAGTTGGCTACCAAAATACACAGGCAAACAATCAACTTATGAGCCATCATCAATCCAAATAGAACATGAAAACATCCAAATTTAATCAACCCGTGGCTCGCTAAGGAACTACTCACAGTTCATTATTAGCAACAACATGCCAACAACAAATTCTAGTTTCACCATTAAGACCAATTTGCATCACCATTGCAAAAGTGCTTGGAAAGAGTGTTTCCTCCTTTTCTTCGAATTCTCCCCGCCTAACGTCTCATCATTTCACCACGCAGGACGAGGCATAACGGGTAGGCACAAACAGTTAAAAACTCTAAAGTATAATTTTGTCACCTTCTGCATGTTGGAATTAATTTCCAATATTAATGTTATATATGTAGTTAATTTCCACAAGATTAGTTTCAATTTTGATTCCAAGTTATAGAACCAGTCCTAACCAATTTTAGATCCGTTTACTAAAATTTTGGCCAATACCCAATTAAGCTCACCCCTAAATGGCTAAGGGCTTGATCTGATGTGGTCTAATTTGATCTGATCTGATGTGGTTTGGTCTGGTCTGGTCTGGTCTGTTCTGATTTGATTGTTTGATTTGACCAAACTTTGACCTTATGTGTACGATAATCTATAAAGAAGAAATATATCAAGTGGGGTCTTGTTAGAATCGTATTAATATGTATTTTTATTAAGATGTAATTTTTATACTCCCTCCGTCCCAGAATACTTGGGACGTTGGGGCGAACACGTAGTTTAAGAAAACTACAAGTGAGTCCATTTAAAACAGTTGTTTATTGAATAAAAGATAAAAATTTTATATTTTTATATTGTAAGCAAACAACAAGTATGGGGGTGAGGTCGTGAGGGTAGTGAAGAGAGAGGAAATGTAAGATCTAATTGGGTTTTGGAGTTTGTGGTTCCAAAGAGAGTATAAAAAAATATTATTTTATTAATGATCCCATTTCATATTTAGTTACGTGTCAAGTATTTTGGGACGGACGAAATGGGAACTGTGTCAAGTATTGTGGGACGGAGGGAGTAATTTTTTTCATTACATAGTTAATTTTTTCAGTACGTAATTAAAGATATATAGCGATAAAAAACCGCACATAAAACGATGATATGATCTGAACTTATTATTTCTGAAATAAGTAAAAATAAGTTGAGCTAAAAAAGACCTAAATCAACCTTATACACCAAGAATGCTTGAAAGATTCGAGAAAATACAAGTTTATATCCTCTATTAACAAAAATTGTTATTACCAGGGATAATGTTGTAAATTCACAGCCATATCCCCCTTTTTCTCTCCTCTATCTACACTATTGCACCACCGTAGACCGTCGTCGTCACCATATAACGACCATAAGCACCACTCGCGCAACCACTGCACAACCACTAGCACCACCGCCCGACCACTACACGATCATTAACACCATCGCGCGACCACCGCATGACCTTTAGAGCCACCCATCGCACCACATCACGACTGTTAGCACCATCGCACATCTATTAACACCATTTCACAAGCAATTCCTTTTCCTAAGGGGTTAATATGAGCCCACTTTACTTGCTTTGCAACTAGGGTGTCTTTTGTTTGGCCGGTCAATTTATAGTCGTCAAGATGGTCTTTCGCCGGCATAGCCATAGAAGGGGAGGAGAGAGAAGGAAATATTGTTGGTGGTGGAGGAAGAAGACTCTATTGTACTTATATTTGGAAGAAAAATCGGTGATATTAACATAGTTTGTTAATATATGATATAAACCGGGTATGGCTTGAAAGACTACAGTACAAGTGAGGTAGTTAATGTTCATGAACTCACCATAAACATTCAACAAACACTAAAATGGACCGACCACATCACTGCTCTCTCCACCACCACCACCACCACCATCACTTCATAATAATCAAGCCTTGTTCTCTCTCCTCCCCTCATCCCCACCATCATCATCACCACCACCATGTTCTGCCCCAATGCAACTTAATTCTACAAAACCCCAATTCAAAAATTTGCCCTAATTTAATCAACCCACCTCCCCAAATCCCTCAATCTGCACTTCCTCTTCCTTCCCAGACCAATCCCAATCTTGGGTTTTCTGGGTTTGAACCACCTCACACTTCCCAACATACCCTGTAAGAGTTTTCACCTTCCTTTTCTCTAATCTTTTACTTATACTTCTATCTTTTATTTTGTTATTATCAATAGCTTCACTGTTTTTAATCATGTTTGTGTAAATTGTGTTTCATTTTTATTTGATTCTTTATGCTTGTTTAGTTCTTTGATTCCCTTAATTTCCTCTTTTAGGATTCTAGCATTGAATTGGAATTATTGGTATAGTAATTTGTATTAAAAAACAAGAAATCTTTTAGTTTGATTGTTGTATTGATGGACTAAATCGAGCAGCAATGTTAAAATTATGAACTATCTTTAGTTAATGAAGGAAAAGGTTCAATACTTAGGCCATTATTCCCCAAAAGTTTACTCCAATTGTCGCAACTCTAAAGAGGTTTTCCTCTAACAATTGGACTTCACTTCGAATGTAAGACACACTCTTATCAATATACCCAAAAAATTTTCTAACTTCATGACTTGTATCAAGTGTATGATCAAGTTATGTGGCTATAAGTAATATTGCGAAGGAAGTTGATAAATGTTTGAGCCTCAAATCCATCTTTGCTTACTAATATGATATGTCGAGTTTTGTTTGTAAAGAAATCTATTTACTTGTATCCGTTTCTTAAGCTCACTAGCTAGTTTCTTAAAGGACTGTAACTGAGAGTGCACCATATTAGGAAAATTTCAATCTTTTGGTTATAATATACAAGTATTAAGGAGAGGGGCTTCTACTAATTTGGGTTGATTATTTTTGAGGTCTTTTCTAGATTTCGCTTTAAATTGATTTTTTGCATATTTTAATAATCATGAAGGTACTTCCAAGATGCCGGTCTTGGCGAAGTTGAAGAGATTGAAGATGATGAAGATCCGATTTTTGTTATGACAGATGAATGGAGGGAGTTCTTTGCAAAATCTGAAGCCAAAAGAAGAGAAGGTAAGTGTTTTCTTTGTAAAATTTGTCTATAGATTGTGAAAATACATCTAAAGGTCTCAACTTTCAAGATAGTAAGAATTAAGAAACACATCTGGCTTTAGTTCTGGCAACGAGTATTAGGGGAACTGATGATCTAATTCGGTTAGTGGTGTGATATCAAAAATGGAATTCAAACCTTAGCATGATTTGGAAATCCGAAAATTGTTACTCGTAGACTCGTAGTAGCATTATGAGGCATATAAGCTTGATATAAAATGATTAGGTAGCTTATGGAGTTTTGGTGTAAAGCTTTATAAGCTTGATTTTAACTTGCATTACTTCCACATAGTTTCTGATTATTTGAATTGCATCTTCAGCTAAAAAGCTAGCCAAGAAACAGGGGAAGACCTAGAGGAGCAACATGAAAGTTGGAAGGCAACAGCAGTTATATGTTTTGTCATGGCAATGGACCTTTTGATCTTAAGAGGGGCAAATTGGTGATATTCTGCCCGTTCAAAACTCTGCTACAAGTTGCAAGACAATATGTTTAATTTTGCTGATTGACAATTGGTCCCATTTTTGCTGCGGGAACAGTTCTTGTAAATCCTTTTAGTTGTCTGTAATTGTGGATCATATGCTAGAATGAAAGTTCAAATACATATAGTTTTTTGGTGGATCAATTTTGAAAGTTAGTATGTTTGCATATTGCAATGAATATGAAATTCGCAAGTCTTGATACTAGTAGATTAATTTCAATGCCAATCAGCATCTCTCACAACCTTCAATAGTTCATAGTACTACACTTGACAAGATATTAACAAATCAGATGAGAGAACAGAGAAATTAATCAACAATAGTGTGTTGGGTCAACTGATTGGTAAAAAGCCTCATGGTTGCACTGAACAATATCCAGAAAAACAACGCAAGGGCTCTACATGCTCACTTTAGATATAACAAGTGAATTTCTATCAATCTACACAAATCTACAGCTAAATCTTATCACGAAAAAACAAAAATACTCCAACAATCACTGGTCTGGCTGATACATTATGATCTTGAAGGCAGCTTGCTGAATATAACGTTGACCCTTTCTTCAATGTTATTCTTCATGCTGTCATAGAAGTCTAGTATCTCCATTGAGATGTTCTTCACCTGAAATTATATGTATTAAAGTTAATGATCATGCTCTCTATATGGGCAAAAGCAAGAGCATGGAAAGCATTACATGATTTTTCTTTGTTTTTTGGTGATGGGAAAAGTATTGTTTACATAAACATGAGTTTGCTATTGCTTCCACCTGTGAATAACGAGAAGGGAAAACTATGTTGTGAATACTAACCACATTCATGTCAACTCGAAGCTCTTCAAACCAAGCGACACTATCCTTATCTTTTGACACACTAGCTATGTATATGCATGCCAATGCGATCAAATGTGGAGGATGGATTAGAATTAGATCCATCTTATATGTGTCGTTGACGATTCCCCTGCATAAATGAAGCATGTTATATGACTCACACAATTCTCGTGAAGGCTTTTATTTCTAAACAATGCCTATTCTAAAACCAACAATTTTGACAATAATGCTATGCAAATTCATAGATATTTATTTTTAGAATGGGAGATAATTGTGTGTGTGAACATTTAAAGATAGTGATTCCTCTGTGACAGTAACTTCCAAGTTATAATCTTACCAAGTGAACTGCATTAGGTCCATCATACCAGCATCTTGGAGAAATCTGTACAAGGATGAAAAGAAATAAGCTGAGATATTCAATGCATGAATAAAGGGTGCAACGAAGAAATTTTCAGATTGATGGGGTATTTTTGTTATTAAATTCAAGTATATCTAAGACATTTGATTAATTGAGATCAATAAAGGGCTAGTATTAGATATCTTAATTATACAGATTAATTATCTCCTATATCATAGAGGTAATGGATAAAGTCATGTTAATCGCAACAATGCAAATAATGATAATAATAAAACATCAGAAGACGAGGAGCAATAACAACAGTACAAGATACTTACTGAGTAAGTGAACGATAAGGATGAAATACAACTAAATAGTAGTTCAGGGCTTCTAAGATCTTCATTTCCATTTCCAGGATATCTTTGATGTCAAATCGGTATCGTATATCTTCAGGATCTGCCAAAATTCATGATGCAGTTTGTCAGCCAAAAAATGGAGCATCAAGGAGCTTCACTAAACACAAATGGTGAGGTAGCAGGTATTACATATTTTTTTGATGTAAAATACCAGGAGTCTAGCCTGTACAGTACTCTCTTCAGCTTTTGCAGCCAAGTACAAGGCAGTTAATGCAACTAGACGTGGATCGAATTCTGTCAAACTCTTTCTGCAAAATTTAAAAAAAAGAAAAAGAATAGAAATCAACTTCTAATCTGAGATAATCTCATGCATTCTCTAACTTTTTAGGTAATTAATTCCACCGCATTTCAAGTTTCAAACTTTTTAGGACTTCATAGCTTTCAATATTTCTTCCAAACAAGTTAAGTAAAAGGATTTTTGTAAGAAACTACCTTGTAAATTTGACATTTTGTGAAAAAATACATTATCACAAAAAAAAAAAAAAAAAAAAAAAGAAGAAAAAAAAAAAAGGAGTGTCGTAACTAACTACCTTATAAAACACAAAATGTTGTAATATATTACCTTACGCCGGATTTCCTCCGTTGGCCCTAGCTTTGGAAAAATAAAGGTAAGAATTTGGGACATTAAATGTGGAATTTTTTTTTTTTGAGAATTAGGGTCATTAATGATACGTGAGAGGCACGTGACATGGTCAACATCAGAAAACTAGGTCAACGAGGAAAATCCAGCATAAGGTAGCATATTACAACATTTAGTGTTTTATAAGGTAGTTAATCACATGTTTTTTTATTTTTTTATATTTATAAGGCAGTTTTTCACAAAATGTCAAACTTATAAGGTAGTTTCTTACAAAAAATCCAAAGAAAAAATGGAAGGGATGATGTCAAAGTCTACATTATGTCAAGTTGCAAAACCATGATTAGCAAACTACACTGCAAACCAAGTTTCAGGTAATAATCAATTTTACTTCCATGAATTTGAGAGGAAGCTTCAGATCTATACCAAACAGTGGTGTCAAAGTGTGCCTTGAATACAAGCAAATTTGAGTTCGGACCAAATCTGAGATACATATGTAGCTCACACAATACACCAAACACAAGAAGGTTGATGCACACTTCAACCTTAGTTATGTCTAGCATCAGAATACTTTGCTTCCCAAACTTAAACCTATGTACTGTGATGTAGCTGCAAATGTTATTTGATGTCATTATGTCAATTTGTCCAACCAGTACATAAGATCCTCACAGGATGGGAGGAAGAAAATGTGCCCCTCATGCTGAAAGCCGAAGGCCCAAAAGTCCAACCTAGTACTATGATTAAGAAAACAAATCATATTTTCTACACAAGTTTTTCTAGCATAGAAGTTGTCACTACATCTAAGGATATTTCCAAACCCAAAAGCAATTTACTAGCATAAACCATCATCCAATTCTGAAGTCCACTACTCCTTGCCAGAAAAAAACATAAAATTACAACTCCAATATAAAGGTATTCATGAAGATACCTGGTATAAACACGTCTCATATATGTAATGGCAGAAGCAACAACCCTGCAAGAGTGAGGAATTATCAGAGATTAATGATGTCAAGACAGCCTAACGATGATAGAGTTCTTTCCTCTTTCACAACATATTGGTACTTTTGGGGTTGAGTGAGTAAGATAAATATGCAACAACAGATATAAATAAACACTTACCTTAGCCAGAGTAATTGAAAAAAACATCTGGGGCATTCAGGCCACAAACTAAATATAATATTTACATCTGAATAATTATATAATATGCCAAACACTAAATACAAATTGATGTAAATAAGCATGTGCCTATAGTTTACATTCTCATTTAGATAGTGCAGATAATTCAATTTCAATCGGAGATTTTTCAATACACCCAGGGTATTTTTTGCACCCTTTGATAATTATTGCTCATTTGGATCATCAAATGAGCCAAAAATACTCTCGATACACCTTACATCCAGATGTAAGTAATAATTTTTTTATTTTCTAACCTCTCACATAAAAGGTAGTATTTCTTAGGTGACCAATATATGATTTTTAAAAAATTCTTCCAAGTTTTTATGTTAAATATTTGTTATTATACTCATTGTGCAAATTAATAGCATATACGTAGTACCTCTTTGTTGTTCCTTAACAATTTCATGTTCTCGATTCATTGTAAATTTGTAATTTTAGCATTGTTTGTTACTTTGAGTTTCAAGTGTGGTTAACTAATTAATTTGCTTTATATTATCATATCTACAAAATACTCTATTTACTTATGATGTTTTACCAAAAATTTGAGTTCTTTTCACTATTTAATCATAAAACTGTAGTTATAGAATAATATTTAGTAGTATTGATATCAAAATTGTAAAGGTTTGATTCATCCTATAGATATTGATGCAATTTTAATTTATTTTATTTTATTTTATTTTTATTTTCCTATTACAGACATTACTATACTTTCATTCACTTATTAGTATTGTTGAACATGAATAACCCTTCTAAATTAATTTTGATCAAATTCACAAATTTATAATATGTGGCGCATTGCCTGGACTAATAACTAGTTATTGATACAAAGAGAAAGTATTGATGTAATGGCTTGTTGAAACATTAAACAACAATTTAAAGTGCTTTAAGAAAAAGAAAGAGCTCTGAAATAATTTTATGAGGCATCTCTTACACATGCCAGAACTCGCTAACAAACTACAGAGGATGCGCAATAAATGAGTAAAAAAGCAACTCAGTTAAAGCTCAATTTTAGACGAAATGTGGATAACAGTAGAGATAGACTTCCAACCTTTGCCTTACTTTCACAAGCTGAGCCATCTTTGTAATATCTGCATTCCAAGAAAGGGCCATTGATCAATAAGGAGTTGTCATGTTGAAGACAAATTTCTAAGCAGTCAAGACCCAAAGGCCAAACCAATGGACTGCCTACATAAAGGGGTGAATAAGGCACTAAAGCAGACCATTGAATCCAGCCACTCTACATTTTTAGCATCTACCTCCTATTTCCACGAAGAAAGATATATAAATCCACATAAGTTGCTTGTAGACACAATGATACATTTACAGCATGAACAAGGCAAGCCTACAACAAACAATTGCTTAAGCAGCTTTAACACGTTCCTTATAGCTTAAGCAATGTGCTTTCCAAACAAACTGAGAAAGTGAGAAGTGAAGGAGTCACCAAGATAAGGCATAGTTTTACTTACTATATACCACTAATTATTTCTATGCTAAGCTCCATCACAATTGATCCTCATTCAGTAGGGGTACAGATTTCCCATCCAACCCAAATTTTAACTTAAAAGATAGAAGATTTCATTTCAGAAAAAACCACATTGATCACTTTCATCATTTTCTATTAGTTCCAAATGTGATTTAAATGCTATAAACTACGGAGTAGCTGCTAAGGATGAAGATTCGAGTTCCTATTTATATACATTTCTATCTTTCCATATACAAAGTACGATTTATCCTCAATTAGAAAAACTTCTTTCAATATCGTCCTTTGCCATTCATGACAACTAAAGCAAGATAAATTCCCACTTATCCATCATTAATTCCTTGCCTTACAGCATAGAGAACATTCATAAGACATCAAGCTATCAA